CTGATATAGGGTGTTGATGTCATTAGACCACACCCCTTCTCATTACAGAGATGCACATCACCTAATATGCTTAATTGGTAGTAGGCTTTCAAGCCTGTACAGCTTGGAGTAAGACAACATGCATGAAGAGGATGATGTGGACAAAATACTAATTTGCCTAATAATTCTGCACTCCCTGTATACTGCAGTTACAGTACTGTTACAGGTGAGTGTTATCACATGACCGTAACCCACAGTGTCTCAGACTAAAGACAGATCTGGAGAAATCAACAGGCTGACGATGTCACTGATGTTTACATCTGCACTGTGTGCTACAACTCTGCACCCAGAGGCTGTGCATCATTCACTCATTTACACACAGAACTCGGAATAAAGCTTCAAATTCATGTGTCACAGAGAGACAAGGCCACACAACAACCTGTTCAGATTCTTCATGTTGCTGCTAACTGTGAGCTGTTCTGATTTGCAGATCTCACAAATCCATATTTCATTCCCAGCAGAACCCAGATTTGATCATTTTGAATTTGATGGCAGTTCCAGAAAATCTGAAGAAATCTCTGTGGGCAAGGGACTTCAATATTGTCCAGTCACAGGCCTCTTATACTGTACTTCCCCAAGATCATGCTAAACTGCACACTGGATCTATTAAAAGAAACATGGCTTCATAGTGGCAGAGTCTGAATACTGAACTTGGCAACATGCGGTGCAGATGTTTCACCATCATGCCTGTCACAAAGTCCAGCACATGCTCTCCTCAGCTCCCAGATGTTTATGGACCGCTGTTAAAAGAAGAGAGAATGCTGCACAAGGTGAACCTGACGCTGTACTTCCATTTTGGAGACATGTTGCTGCCATCAAATTAAAAAAGACCCCTTTTTCTTTTCCTAAATTTTTTTTTTTTTGTCAGTTTAAACATCTGATATATTTTCTATGTTCTATTCTGAATGAAATATCATTTAATGAGACCTGAAAGTCGTGGCATTTTATTTTTATTCACATTTTACACACATTGGGGTTATAGATCAAAAACAGGGTTCAACACTGTTTCTCCTGATCTGTGCTTAAATGCAGAGCATCACAGACTCTGATTTACTGAACTGTTTATGCTGTTCAGTATCAACACTTCTCAAATGATGCTCAGGCCTGCAGAGCTGCAGCACACGTCGCGGATATTAATGACATCATCACTCACCTGTGACGTCACCTGATCGGTCCTTAAAGACACGTTCTGAAAGGCAACAACAACACGTTTTCACTCTGCATCATCAGCTTATCTCCTGCTGTTTGCTTCGTAGTTACATCTGTACAATCTAACAGTGAGAGCCACCTCAGCATAAATGCAGAACTCTGTTATTACATTATTGGAGTGAGTAAAGCAGCGATCTTAGTTGTGTTTTCAGGATGTTTTCAAAAATGAAAAACTCACCAACGATGAGTTTAATGTTGAAACGTTGTTGCTTTGG